CTAGATTAATTGTTAAAGTTGGACGAAGCTAGATTAATTGTTAAAGTTGGACGAAGCTAGATTAATTGTTAAAGTTGGACGAAGCTAGATTAACTGTTAAAGTTTGACGAAGCTAGATTAATCGTTAAAGTTGGACGAATCTAGATTAATCGTTAAAGCTGGACGAAGCTAGATTAATCGTGAAAGTTGGACGAATCTAGATTAATTAAATGTCTTTTTTTTTTTGTCCAGGTAGGAGTAAGTTTGTCTAACCACTGTATTCTGGTGTTTGGGTGTTATAAGCTATTTCTGTATAAATAACTAATCCTTGTTTTTTTTAAAAAGGACTTTGGACCCAAAGTGAACTTCAAGAAACGGAAGATCCAGCTCGGCCCATTCCATGGATTTCCCGATTTCACAAAATCACTGGTTGACAGGTTAACGCAGATTCTGGTGGATTTCAAGCCCGTGGAGTTGTGTCATTTGGAGTACGTGCCCTCTCGTGGTTCTGCTATCGATCCTCACGTGGACGACACGTGGTTGTGGGGAGAGCGTCTTGTAACTGTCAATCTTTTATCGGACACTGTATTGACCCTTAGTCCGGTGTTGTATGCTGAAAATCATATACGTTTAGAAGGTCACAATCAATATAACAGTTCACACGATAATAATAAAGTGAACATAGCACTACGTGTACCCTTGACCAGAAGGTCACTCTTTGTCCTCGCGGGACCCCTTCGTCATTCTTGGACTCACCAAATCTTAAGAGATGACGTGACAAGTAGAAGACTGGCCATGACGTTCAGAGAACTATCTCTCGAGTTTACACCTGGTGGACAATTCGAGAAACACGGGCAAGAGATGTTATTTATAGCAAAACGTTTCGTATCGTTTGCGTCACATTCTAATTGAACATAAATCAAAAACATTTGGATTTACAGTAGTTAATTATTCCATTTTAATAATTTCACTTTAGGTAACTCCTGGTGGCTAATTAGGGAATTATTTTTTGCTTGTGTAATGTCAGTGTTTCAGCAAAGCCTTCGAAAAGGGGAAATGTGAAGACAGTTACTTTAACACACCTTCACTGACTGTTACAATTTACAACCAGGAACGAAACACTTGTGAGAGTGTGACATCACAGTGTCCAGGCCACACGTTCTCGATAACCGTGGTTTCAGGGGGGGTGGGGGTGGATATTGTATGACAGAAAGCGAGTTGAGTTGTTAAAATAAACTATTCGGTATTGTTGTTGAATCTGTGAAATATTTTATCACGAACAGACTGACATACACCCAGGGCCATCTTGCTCCTCGGCCTGCATAAATACGTTTTGATTATAAAAGGAAATATTTACATTTTCTCATTTCCTTCACGTGCACACACACATACGTAGGTATGATTCCGCCCCTGGGCTATTAACGCATCACTTGGGAGATTAGAAACTTTTACATGAGAATATGTAAAAAAAGAAAAGATACAGGACGAGATAGCCTTGGAAATATTACAGATTAATAATTACCTTGAATCGGTTGTTGAGAACTTAGTTATAAAATCTCTATAACGAAAGACAATGTAAATGTTCGTTTACAGTTGTGTACTGATACAGGTCTTTGTGTAAATCCATTATTTCATTTTTATTTGTCGACTATTTGTTCGTAATATTTATTTTTATTAATCCAATGTGTTAGTGACAAGGTTGAAACCTAAAATCAACGTCTAAAGTGTGTGTAGGATAAACATATCGAGGTAACATTGTCTTAAACCCACGCCGCTAAAATAACGTCTACCGAGGCTACTCCGTTGGCCTAGTTTACCGCTATGTTACACCTCCACGGATTCTAAAGCGCCGCCTACCATACAGGAACTAATAGTAATTTAAATATATATTTATATCCCTAGTATTTTTGAAGTATATATTTAAGCCTTTAAATCAAAAAAGTATAATAATTGATATCGAACTGAAACGACTGGTATAGTTTATGTTACAGCTGTTCTTTTGTGAGCTTCTTTGGAATTGAAACAACAGGTTTAACTTACCTAACTACTCTTTCTTATCAATAACACGTTTGTTTATTTTTTCTGTGAAATTCATTAAACACGGTTACCTAATTTTACTAAAAGTACACTGTATCATAACGATTGTTGTTGTTGTGTTTCAGAAAAGTGTATACAATTAATTTTCGATATGAAACACGTGATTAAACTTCTAAAACGATTCACACTAATTTAGGAGAAACTTAAATCTCCATATAAAATGACATCTGAAGTAAGCCTAAACAATGAGCTGTCTGCGCTGTGCTCCCCACGGGTATAGAACCCCAGTTATTAGCATATAAACCCTCAAGCCAACTGGGGAGCAAAGTAAAAGGTAAACCGTCTAGCACAGCTGCAGTTGATTTTAAGTTGGGATTACTAAGCCTACTCAGGACATTATAAAACAGAAACACATGAAAAAGTATTCGTTTTTTTTAAAGTTTCTACCCTATGTCTATTAAATATGAACTTGTATTTGTTTGTTTGTTATGAATTTCGCGCAAAGCTACACGAGGGCTATCTGCGCTAGCTGTTCCTAATTTAGCAGTGAATAATTTAGAATGATCTAAATAACGCCTATCTTACTATCAGAATAATCTATATGACTCCTGCCTTACTGACAGAATAATCTAAATGACTCCTGGCTTACTAATAGAATAACATAAATGACTCCTGCCTTACTGATAGAATAACTTAAATGACCCCTGCCTTACTGACAGAATAATCTAAATGACTCCTGACTTACTAATAGAATAACATAAATGACTCCTGCCTTACTGATAGAATAACCTAAATGACTCCTGCCTTACTAATAGAATAACATAAATGACTCCTGCCTTACTGATAGAATAACCTAAATGACTCCTGCCTTAC